GGTCCGTTTGGGACGGTGTCTCGTCCCGGGCCGTTTTCAGACCGGTTCATAAAAGCGGGACAAATACCAGGCAGGTCAAATCTTGGACGTCCCGGACCGCACCCACCCCTAATCAAATTTGTGCTCACAATTACTATTTTGTGTTTATGTCACAGTTTTTAAATCACAACTTTCACTTCATGTACTTAACTCACAACTTTCATTCTCATTGGGTGTAAAAAATTATAAATCTATCGTTAATTAATAAAAAAACAAAATAACAGAACTGACTGAACTATATAAAATTATTATTTTTATATTTTATCTATATATATTATTTATTACAAACAGTAATATACAATATTAAATAAAAATTTACAAATACTAAATAATTTTTATTATATAAATAATTTGACAAATGCATAATAATGTTAATTAAAATACACATTATTAGAATTTTCTAAACTTGAAATGCACATAAAAATTAACCGCTTAATAGACTGCACACTAATGTTAGACCAAATGCATATTAGTGTCTATGGATAGGCACATTATCGATTCTTGATTTTAACATATTATGTCTTTTCAATAAAAAATAATATAAAAATATTATACAAAATTATTAAAATACTACATATTTTTTTATAATATAAAAAATAAATTAATTTAAATATTTAGGGTAATTTAGTTAACTGGTCGGATAAACCCAGTAATTCGTTCAGTTTCAATTTGGTTTGGGGCAAACGTTCGATCGGTTCAGACTGCACAATAGCTGTCGAAACAATGCACAATAGGGTTAGACGAATTGCATATTAATGACTATTAGATTGCACGATATCAATTTCAACTTTATTGAAAGAAAAATAAAACAAACAAACAAACCAAATGAATTATAAAAAAATATTATTTTGTTAAATATATTTGTTTTACATTTATATTTTTTCCATGCATATTGTACAATTTATTTATTTATTTTATTTTGCATTAATTATTTTTTTATTCATTATGTATTTAACTCATTAATTAATTAATACTATAATTAAAGTTCTTAAAATGTGCAGAATGATTCCTACAATTTATCTAATTTTTACTCACATACCCCTAAAACTAATATGTACCCCCGCCACGACTTCACCACCACAACTTCACTGTATTGCTGCCGGCGAGCATCCTCATCAGTTAAGTCGATTACATTATCCCGCCGGCAAGAGAATCTCGAAACCAAAGACACTTCGATTCAAGCGACAAAAACCACCAATCGTGTTGAATTGAGCTACGTGTGCGCGGTGTTTATCTCCAGCGTTGTCGGAGGAAGGAGAGAGGATGTCCTGTCAGTAAGGATAATGATGGCGACAATGGAGGCGGCGGGGAACTGTCAATGGCTGGCAACATTAACCGGAGCTGAGTGTGTGTTTGTGTGAGTGTGTACGGGACCAGTGACGGGCGGCCGCTGAGGAAGGTGAGGATCTGGCGGAGGTTTTTCCATTAAGTCCTCGTTCGATGGCGACAGAGTGGTGGTCTTCGAGGTTGAGGCGGTGGCACGGCGGAGCTGCAATGGAGGGGAGGCATTGGTGGACGACGGTCATCTCGGGTTGCGGTCGGCGAAGGCGGCGCGCTGTGGTTGTTCGGCGGTGTCCGACGGTCAAAATTTGTTTGTGTGTGTACTGAGTGTGTAAGTACGAATTAAGTGTGTGCATGTAGACATGTCCATGGGCCGAACCAGCCCGGGAACCAACCCGCGAACCGGTCCTGGCCCGGACCGAACCGGCCCTGAACCGGCCTCCTAAGGGCCGGTTCGTTGAACCAGACCCGNCGGCGGGTCCGTGACCCGGCGGTTCAGGGCCGGTTTGGACCCGCGGCCCTTAGAAAATGCGGGCCGGTCAAGGGTCATGAAATTGCGACCCGTGGACCCGGCGGGCCGGGCCGGGCCGTGACCCGGCCCGTGGACTGGGCACCCCTATGTGCATGTAGTGCGTGTTTTAGGGATAGGTATGAGAGAGAGAAAGAGTTTGTATAGTTAGTGGGGCTAGTGGTGGGGCCAATGGTGACAGTGTAATGTCTATTTTACCTCTAGGAAGTGGTCAAATGTATACATTTGACCATGTAATGTACACTTATTTGCGAAATTACTATCATATGTTTGACTACTATATGTAATGGTACATATTTATTTTCATTTCTTTCATTGTACTCCTTTCTCATTTGAGCACACTTCTATATATACACACATACACACACCCATGCTAAGGATAAAAGGCATAACAACAAATAGTATAAAAAAAACTACTAAACAAACAACAAACTATAAAGAAATTGTTAAAAGGAACCAGTAACTCCAAATGTTGCTCCAAGCAGCGTTTCAATTTTTAACTTTTCGAGAAAAAAAAAATAGTTGTGATTCGTTGAATTACCAAACATAAATTTTAGCTAGTCAGTTATCCAAAGCTGCTAATTCGGTCAAATTGCCGAAAAATAGTGGAGCTGCTAACAACCAAACATTCCCTATGGTACGCCAAACACTTCGACCGGCTGGAAATTGACTCGCCTTTGTCTTCCTCGCTGGTAGAATGCCGAGTACCTGCAAAACTCCCACACCGGAGGGGTTCTCCGGTGAAGAGCCTCCGATACTTAAGTCACTATAAGCTCTACTCAAGTCTCAAGAATATAATGGATAAATAGTGCTAAAATAATAAAGCTCACCCCTATATATGGGGGTGAGATACCTGCTGCCCGGGTGAGCTGAGGTGGCTGCCCAAAATTGCCCAGTCTGCCCAATCGTACAACACACACTGGAGGTGTGTCAGAGACGGTTGCGCTATATAGACCAACCAGGTCATGCCACGTGTCCCCCACACGTCCTCGAAGGCTCTCATGCTCGACCACATGTGGGTCGATCCACTGACTGCTCCAAGTCTGGGAAATAGTCGATCAGACGACCGTTTGTGGCGCAGACCGATCTTCGACCGGGCCCTCCATAGGTCTGGGATCGTCCCGCGCTCCAAATGCCGGAATCCCCTTGAAGCTATCTTTCCACTTCAGAGGCTCTTGTTCCTGTGATGTTCGACCACGACCACCCTACTCGGTTTATTCGACCAACTCACTAGACCGGTTTACTCATTGAGGTATAATATCCCATATCACCCTATTTACAAGTGAATTTCGAGCTTATAACTGATAGTTGATGTCTTATAGCTGAAAACTAGCTGATATGATAGAAGTTTTTGGTAAACTTAGCTGATAAATTGAAATAAAAACTTCAACATGCTTATTTGAAAAACTTTCCATGAAAGCTTATGAGATAAGCTCGAACTTTTTAAAAGGGCTCGTCCTACCAAATTAAATTTATTTAAATACCTAAAGCTTGAATGATAACTAAATAAGCTAAAAACTATCTTATGATGTTTATCAAGCACACTCTTAGTCTCAACAATCAACGATGATTGTCGCCAACCATCACCATCAACATAGACCATAAGTAGATTTAAGAACGCAAATGAAGTTGGAATAAAAAACATCAAATTCTGAGCTGCAATTTCTATCAACTACGAGTACGAATCTAAGAGTATGCTTGGATACAAGATTTTTTTTTTAAAAAAAAATCATTATTAACTGATCACTTTCTTAACTCGAATCTAACTCAACTTTAACCCCACCCTAACAACCTCAATATTATCAATATTACTAAACAATACCAATCAATCATTCTTACACATTATATCAACTTTAATTCACTATTTATCCAGTAACATAATTTTAACTAACCATTATTTCACATTATTTCGTTTATACTTTTATGTCAAATCTACTTTAATTATTTTATTTGAAATATTCTTTAATATAAGTTCAGAATCGCACTAACAACTAACCATACCACGTTTTTCAAAATTAACTAAACAAAACAAAACAAAAAAATATTATATCCAAGCATCCTCTAAAACTTATTCTTAATTCTTTAGCCCACGAAAAGTGAAACAAAACAAGGACAGGTATTTTGAACTTTGTGCGACAACAATGACAATAACCATGTATTTTTCACCAGTTGTTGATGAAATATTTTTTTTTAAAAAAAAAATTTGTTTGGCTAATTATAATAGTAACACCAGTATAACACCCGCGATTACATGGTAATAGCTAAAATATTTATACTGACATTTTTAAGAAAATTATAAAAGAGAAGTTTTTTATTTAAATTTTAAATATTTTAAAATATTTCTTATTACTATTATTATATTTAACTAGACTTTTCACTTGTACAATTTGTCCTTTTTATATTGTAATATTTTTAATCATATGTAATAAATCTATAGATAACTTTTATAACTGATATATACTTTTATTAAATCTATAGATAACTTTTATAACTGATATATACTTTTATTAATTTTTAATTAGTATTTATAAGTTATTTAGTTTTATAATAAAAATAAATTATTTATAATTTTAGCAATATGGATATCAAATCCAAACTCGTCAATGATTAATTTTATATAATATATATGATATAATTGATTTCAAAGATAAAAATGATTAAATTTTAAATATATTTATAATTTAAGTTATTTAAATGTGTAATAACTTGAAAAATTCTCATAAGTATATAAATTTCATATTTATATAGACTATTCTGAAGCATCAAAATTGACTCATAAAATTACGAAGCACAAGAATTTGAAAGATTGCATATTCTGCATACAAAAAAGTTCTTTTTATATATTTTACCAAATAGATTTGATGACATAAAGGTTAGATTGAAAAATCACTAAATAGAAATATTTAAATTATTTTAATATTTTAAACTGGACACATGTCAAACAATTATGATGTAGTTACACACAAACAAATGCAATTATTGCATAATCTTAANNNNAAACTACTTTCAACCATATAATTTAGAAAAATTTTAAAATGAAAGGGATTGTGAGTACGCTGGACCCTAGAGTAGGAGGTCAAACATTTCTTTCCTTTTCAACTTATAGTCCTATCCGTTCGCCAAGAATTTCCTCTATCCGAAAAAGTCCCCCATAATCCTCACAATTCCACTTATGCCCCCAAATTAACCCTGTTTTTGACCCGAGTCCCTCACTCGTCCTGTCCTTATTTTGAAAACCATTGCTGAAAAAAAAGCACACTAAAGCGTGTTTGTGCGTGTACGGAGCAGCCATGGACGGAGGAGGCGCGCATAATCCTCGCACGGTGGAAGAGGTTTTCAGGGATTTCACGGGCCGGCGCAATGCGTTGATTAAAGCTCTCACCACTGGTAAAATAATGAAAAAAAGAAGAGATAAATTTTGCTGTGTGTGGTCTGCTTATTATTCATATTTCTGTTTATGATGTGCTGCTTGTTTGAAGCTCTAGGGTTTTGTGTTGTTCGATTTTTTCTGCATTACTTTTCGTAAGGAGTTTTGTGACCTATTCATTGTTTTCCTTTCTGTTATTTTTTTTTTTCAGACGTTGAAGAATTTTTCCAGCTTTGTGATCCTGGTGAGCTGGGCGAATTTCGTGATTATGCAATTTCTTAGTGGTTTTACGTTTACCTCAGTCGATTTTTTATTTTGGGTTTATTTGTAGACATTATTTTTGTGCGGTCTTATTATTGTTGCCTTTCTGAAAAAATAAATCAAAATTACTTTTGTATTAGAATAATTGTCTGTTTGGTGTGGTTCGTGTGAACTTGAGTAGCTTGGTGAAGTATGCTGATTCCAACCTATTGTTACCCTATCTATTTTGGGAATTTATTATAAATTTGTTATGAGAATTTTTATTCTCTTATTATATATATATATATATATATATATATATATATTTTCTGGGTAAAAAGATTTTCTTTTTTGTTTGGAAAAATCGGACAATTACCGTTAAGAGAGGAGATGGTTTGGGTGTGATAAATATAATTATATCATGATTTAACTTACCGGACTTGCAACTTACGAGTGATAATTATAAGGGTAAGACTTACAACTTACAAGTGATAGTTATAAAGTTTTGATATGGTATATATATTACTACACTTTCTCTTTTTATTGAATTACATTCGAATTACAATTATCCTAGAAGCATTCGGTTCCGGATGTAATATATAATCCAATATTTGTAATACTAAACACAGTATGCATAGTGCATTTTCCGGTGAATCTAAAACTAGAATTTACCGTGTCTGCTGCACCGTTGGCCAATTAAGGAAAAGAAAATGAAGTCTTTGATTCTACCTTAGAATATCCGATGGTGCTGTGTGGTTTTGTTAATTCCAAACCTCCATCATCTTAACTAGGCGGTGCTATTTCGGTAAGCGTTTTGAATTGCTGGCATTTTGACTTTTTTAAATTATTATTATTATTTTGATGGTCCGGTTTGAACCCTTTTCTGGACTTTATGAGCACCCCTATTATTATGTTGCTTTTACATGAAGATGTGAATTTTTAGGAACAAAAGGAAGCACATTTACCTAATTATTCCATTTCCTTTGAAGCTGAAAAGGCTTGTATGGGATCTTTTTCCCATAATTTTTGGCTTTCTATTGGTGCAAGTTGCTCCTTTCTGTTTCTATCTTGTATTGAGCTAAGGTTTGTACCCAAGGGTGCGTCAAATTAGTTCCTTTACCATTCCTTTTACGATTTCTGTTCATATCTCACCAACCACTCTATGCATGCATGTCTTGCTCGTCTATAACTATATGAGTATGTAGGGTTTTGTATTATCAGCTTGTGATGGATGATTAAATGTTTCCATCTGCAAACATTCTTTTGCTTTTAATGATGCTGCCTCCATGAAAAACATGGAAAATTGCAGAGAAGGAAAATCTTTGTCTTTATGGATTTCCTAATGAGCGTTGGGAGGTTAATTTGCCTGCTGAGGAGGTGCCTCCTGAGCTTCCGGAACCTGCTTTGGGTATAAACTTTGCCAGGGATGGGATGCAGGAGAAAGACTGGCTGGCTCTCGTGGCTGTGCACAGTGATGCATGGCTACTTTCTGTTGCTTTCTATTTTGGTGCCAGATTCGGTTTTGATAAAGCTGACAGGTACTTTATTCAAAAGCTTGGAACTTCTAAAGTTTTCCTCATCCTGTTTCTATTTTTTTTCGTATCCTGTTCTCATGGTAATACCTGGCTCTGTTTAGTTTACTTCTTTTTGAGTTTCCTCGTCCTGCTTATATTTTATTTTCTGTTCTCAGCAAGCTTTCTACTTTATTTTGCATTGGTCATCTGGTCTCAGCGTAGTTATATTTAGTTGTGCATTGCCATATTGAGGTGTTATTGTTTTCGTCCTGCATAATGAATTTTTTTAGTTATTACCACTTTTGATGCGTGTTTCTCTAGTCTTCTGTCGTATTTCTACTATCCCATGATTATATGCTCTCAGTTTCAATAAATTTTACGGCTATAGCTATCATTTTTCTCCAACATGTCTATCTAATTTACTTCATAGGATATTGCTCGTCCATTCAAATAAGTGTTTTGCTTGCTTGCTTTTTTCTTGTGCTTAATGGTTTATGGTGCTGACTGCTGACTCCCTCCAGGAGGAAAAGTATAAAAACATGAGAATTATATATTGTTATTGCTTGATATCTTCTATAATAAGATCTCTAATTTTGTGTGATTCCTCTGCTAGATGCAAACGTTTTTGTATTAATAAACAGAGTTTCTCCTAATGCTGTACTTTACTTTGTTGGTGGTGGATGCAGGAAAAGGCTATTCAGTCTGATAAATGATCTTCCGACTATCTTTGAAGTTGTGACTGGAGCTGCAAAGAAGCAAGTAAAGGAAAAATCATCTGTCTCAAACCACAGTGGCAGTAAATCCAAGTCGAACTCAAAAGCGGTAAAGGAAACTTTCTTTATATATCATTTGGAAAGGCATTGAAGTGAGTTCATAAAATTTGTTCATTTTCTTTTGAGATCACTTATGATGAAACTAATATGGGTCAATTACAAAAAATGAAGTTTGGCTACTGACTGGTCTTCCTCTACTGTCCAGGCTATGATATAAGCACCTGATACATAGTATTCTCTTCTTTTTTCACCTGTTAATATGGAAGTGAAGTTGATTAACGTGCTTATAATTACTTTGCGTTTTCTGCTGACTTTTCTGAAAAATTAAGGATTTCTATAATTTTACCACTTGCCTCTATGAAGATGCACCTTTAAGAAAATGGCAAAAATTATCTAGCTTGATGTGTGCAGGAGATTTTGGAAAATGTGGAGATAAAATATCTTAACATTGCATGCAAGTTGTTGATGTTATACATGATATTTCGCCACTTTGAAGTGTGTGTATAATTAACTTTTGAACGTGTTGATACATGTGAAAGCTGAATTAATTTAACTCCTAAATCTATTCTTGTTTCCTTGTTTGTGTGTGTGTGTGTGTGTGTGTGTGTGTCAGATATATCAGACCAGTCCCAACGTTGTTTTGAGTGACTAATACATCAAAAGATGTGTTTTGTACCGTTTCCATGTTTTAACTTAGATTTGTAGTATCTTTATCAGCTTGGAAGTTCATCTTTTTATCTGCAGTCATAAGATAATACCTATTTTTTTATCCTTTTGAAATAAACAAAAGTTACATATTACCTATGTTTTTTACCATGAGTTGTACATATATAACCCTATCCCTGTCCGTTTTGATATACATACTGCTTTGATCAGCTTGAGAATCTCTCAAAGATATTATAATTATGTTTAAAGTATTGGTCGAAATTTCAAAATACTGATTGCAGTCTAACCATCTTATCTATCGTTCATATTCTCGTAAACCAATATTGGGCTACCTCGTTACCAAGGGTCGTTCCATCTTCGTGTTTTAATGACATTTTTCTTCACCTAAAATTATATCAATATCTATATATTTCATTGAGGCAAAGTTCGAACTTGAGCACGAGTCAATTTCTGAACCAAACTGTAGCTGATGAACCACTATACTATTTATTTATTTTCTCCTTTCCGTTGTTTTGGGGATGGGTAGGAAGTTAATTTTTCTCTTTTGCAGTTTAGAAATTCTATGTCATATTTGTACATTAGTGCGGTCCCGTACAGTTTAAGCACACCCATCTAACGGTGAGTTCAGTCGTCCCGTAAGGTTCCAACTCAAAACCAATTGGTGAAGAAAAAGGAGATAGGTAACACTATACTTATAAAACTATGCAGACTTTTAATCCTATGTGGGACTGACTCACAAGTGAAAATTTCAACACTTAGTTTATACTTTATGGTGCAAAACATGTTTCTCGTTATTATTTTAATGTCCTTTCAAGCCAACTTACATTCAACGAGTTTTTTTTTTTTTCAATTTATTAAAAC